CCAGTCTCTGGAGAAGGACATCATGCAGGGGGTTGTTTGAGCAGAGGAAGGCCTTTGATAAGATGCACTGACACAGTAGCAGCAAAAACAGGCTCAAGAACAACATTGATTGTAGAACGAGGAGGTACAAAGTGTTGCTATGATTTGATGATTCTTTAGAACTACAACTGCAGCAGCAGGGTTGATGTCTGTGTGTATTGTCAACTAAGACCTGTGAAGCACTGGGGAAAAGAATTTAACCAAATAATTTTTTTTTAAAATTTACTGTTGTACATTTTATTCCTTCACCTCCCCTCCCCTCCTCCCAGCCGACCCCACAGTGTACCTCTGTTCCAGACTGTTGTCATACATATAATTCCTCATCATATATTCCTTTCAGCCAATTCTTCTCCTCATCTGTTCTAATATAGTGCTCATTATCTATCCACTCTTTTCCCATTCTCTCCCCAACCCCTATCCGCATCTATCCTATTTTATAACAGTGGTGTCAAGCAGTATTTGTCCTTTTGTGACAGAGATATTTCACTCAGCATAATGTCTTCTAGGCTCCCAATGCTGTGTAATGTTTTATGAGGTCGCTGTTTTTCAGTGCTGCATAATATTCCACTGTGTAAATGTACCATAGTTTTCCCTATCCATTTGTTTGTGGATGGACACTTGGGTTAGTTCCATCTCTTTACTATTGTGAATAATGCAGCAGTAAACTTGATTGTGCATACATTTGTTTGAGTCAGGGCTCACCAGAGCCATGGTATATTCCCAGTATTGGAATTGCTGAGCCAAATGATATTTCTATTCCCATCTTTTTGAGAAAGCACCAGACCATTTTCCATAGTGGCTGTACCGTTTTACATTCCTACAAGCAGAATTTGTTATTTGGTACCCTGTTGAACTTTGCTGTTGTTGCTGGGTAACCAAAGAATTTTCAATGAGAAACAATTAGTTTGAAATCTCATAAGTAAAAAGAAATTCTCAGTAAGAATTTTATAACCTGAAATCTCATACACAAATTTTTGTCTGTGGCTATTAGTTTTATTAATGTTGTGTTCTGCTGAGTCAGAACCAACTCATAGCTAACCCTCCAGTGGGATTTTGGAGGCAGTAAATCAAATTGGAAGAGATTGACCACCCTTTTCCCTCAGAGCAACTGGTGGATTCAATGCACAGCCTCTTAGTACTAGGCCACCAGAGTTCCTTAATAGTATGTATTAATGATCTCATTTCTTAGTGCATAAAAGGCATTAAAATACATTGCTATTATTAGTCAAACTATTAATAAGTGTTTACCTCTAAAAGAATTTGGTAACGTAAGCTTAGTATGACCCTAACTCACTCAGCAGTCATTTTGAAGGCTTGATCCTCTACACAATCCTAAGCCTAGAAATGAGAAATGTGGGGGGAAAGGCCTGAGTATGGCAAGTACCCATTTCCCAAAGCTGTCCGTTTTAGCTCTTAGAATGTTCTTGGTTTTCTTGTGTATCAGTTGGTCTCTGTTGCTATTTTCTCATCTCCTTAAACATTGAATATTACCATTTTGAAATCTCTTAATCCTCTACATGATCATGCCCATGGAGACCTCTTCTTTTCTCTAGTCAGTTGAACTGTGGACTATCTTTTGAGTGCAGTGGTGGCTACAGCTTGAAACAGATCATGCCATTGCTTTGCCAGGCTACCTGGCAGCTCCTCATGGTACTGGAACAAAAGTCTTAGTCCCCACACCTGCCTACAGAGCCCTGTGCAATCTGCTCCTTTAGATCTCGGCCATGTGACACCATCTCAGGCATCTCTGGACTATTCTAAACTTTTACCTCTGCTCCCATCACATTTTTATAAGATTTTTTTTTTTCACTTACTCATCTCTGTATTAGAATGCAATTTCCACGAAGGCAAGAATTTTTATTTCCTTTCTAAAATTATGGTTTGGATGAAGGTTTACATAGAACAAGTTCTTTCTCCATTCAGCAGTTTACCCTGAGTTTATTTCCTAACATTAGATGCAATTGCTTCAACATTAACAGCTCTCTTTCCATTTCCTCTTTGGGTTCTCCCTAACTATTCATTCTTCCAGTCTTTGTCCAGCTTCTGAGCTTTGTTTTGGGGCAGATGCTACCCTTTGAGTCTCGAGTGGTTGATACTTCACTTTATAGACCTGCCTGTTTGGCTGAAAGCGTCTCTGGGAGTGAGTTCAGATCCAGGTTTGAAGAGGATTTCAAGCTATAGTCTCAAGGTTTCATCATTCCCTGTCAGATCAGTAAGTCTGGTCTTTTTTTGTGATTTTTAGTTTTGTTTCACATTGTTCTCTCCCTCTGTCCAGGACCTTCTGCAGTCCCAGTCAAAGTCATGGGTAGATCAGCTGTATACCATCTGGTGTCTGGTGTCTTGGGTAGTGGAGGCTGGGATTCACGTGGTTCATCAAGCTTTTGGATTAAGTGTTTCTTTTAGTCTTTTATTTTCTTCACTTTTCCTTCCTCCAGATGGAGAGATCCCAGGTGACCCTCACTTAAGGCGAGGACTTTGTCTTCTGTCTCGTAGCTGGAACACACACTGTAGATTCAAACACCATTTGCTGTGTGTTGGAGAGAGGCATGCTTCCTGCTGGCGATTAGAACAGAGATGATGGTTCATTTTTATTTATGCTTATTTTCACATAATTTTTTAAACTGAAATTGGGAAAGAACCATCCTCTGAATAAAAAGAACTAGGAATAAATAGAAAAAAGAACTGTAAGAGAAATAACTAGTGAACCAATGATTTCTCAAATGAGAAACAACTGTTGAAATGAGTTTCCTTTATATTTTTAAATATAGTATTAACTGGTCTGCTCCATAGTCCATGTTTATTTTGAAAACATCTGAGTGGTGATTGCATTCTGAGACATAGCCTGTACTGTGTTCTCTTTTTATTTATATATGAAAAGGGAGGGACATAGATGAGGGTACCTGTTTCCTCTGTATTCCCCAGATCCCTTTTTCACCATATAATGAGATGTGGCTAGGATCTTTGAGGTAACACTCCTTTGCATTAGCCAGAAATGTTTGTTCTAGCATAGTATCATATTGCTATATTCTTCAAAAGAGTGTTAACATTTTCTTTCCTCTAATGACATCATTGATTCCATTTAGACTAGCATGTGATAAAGTGATCAGATTTCATATGATGTGATGCTCAATCTAAGATGGTGCCAGCTATGACATACAGAGTGTCTGGATGGATGAACAGGCACTGGCGTTAGGGAGCTGCAACAGTGCAGTCACTGGGGAGTTGCTCTGCTAGTTAACTCAAAGGTCACCTCTCTCTGGTAGTTGAATCCACCAGCCACCCTGAGGGCGCAGGATGTGCAGTCTCCTCCTCTGGACTTATTTACAGCCTTCAAAGCACAATCAGAAGGTCAGGTGTGAGTCACTTCCACCTTGATAGCAATGAGTTGCATTACTGACATTTCTGTTAACATCAGTCTGTATCAGACAATGTGATTGACTCACTAATATTTCACTTGAAAAAAAGTACATTATTTTAAGTGTCGGCTGGATATTTCAGTTTGCAATCTGATTTTTTAAAAAGGCTTCCAAATACGTGGTGGTGGTGGTGGTGGTAGTGTTGTTAAGTGACTCATAGCGACCCTATGAAGGAGAGTCCTCAACGCTTGGGTGTCTTCCATCCTTTCTCCAGGTTCATAGTTTCTGGAGGCAAGCTATTACAAAGTGGAAGCCACTCCTCCTTCCAAGGTTGTTTTAAATATGTATATGGTTAGTAATTTTTTTTCTCTTTTCTCTCTGCCAGTATTACTTAGAGCCTCCAGTGAAACTGCGTGAAGCTCTGGAAAGATACGGACTTAGCGCTGAAGATTTTTTCGTCTTGAATCATGGAGAATCAAGATACCTAAATACTGACAGTGAAACCTTTGAATAAATAGAAATACAAGGATTTTCCAAGAAAATGATCTTTCATTGGACATGAATTTGAGAAACAAATGAAATGACCAAGAAATTCATCAGCATTATGTTTTTTTTACATTTGGAAACAGCTTTTGCAAGACCATTTTGTGTCCTGCTTACTTAAATATGATTACCAGTTTATAGAAAAAGTAAATAGGATGGGTGGGTCATTAAAATATTGGATTAGCTACTATGGATTTTAAATGATTAAAAGCATTGCATAGACGTATCTTTATTAAAACATTTTACTTTAGGTATACTAGAACTTTCTAAGGTAATGAAACTGGTATTAGAGATTTATATTCTATTTTTCAGGGTGATGTTCAAGATGAGTCATGATTGTGTCTGCCTACCTAGGTGTTTTCCCCCAGAAGTTTGAACATGAATATAAACATTTCATATATTCACATTATAGTAATTGATGACATTTATGCCCACAGATTTATAGACAGCAGTTCTTGCTCTGTATAGAAGCCAAATTTATGTGATTTTTTCAAAAAGTATAAAAACATAAGAAATGTAGGGTTTGAGCTAAGTTAAAATTTTTTTTACTTTTTCCAAAAGGGGAGACAGTATATATTTTAGTGCTTGTCTAAGGCCCTAAGTTGAAAGCTCTCAAGTTGGCCAGAGAAATAGTACGGTTATAAGGATAAGATTTAAGACATCTTCTATGTTTAATCTAAAGGTTAGAGCTGCTAAGCACAAATACAACTGAAAGAGTACTTTGCAAAGATAAATGCCAGTCTTAAGTTCCAATCACACACTTATTGCCGTTGAGTTGGAACCAACTCACAGCTGAGCCTCCAGCAGGTTTTCAGAACCTGTAAATTGCAGAGGAGACTGCTCATCTTTCTCCTGCAAAGCAGCTGGGGGATTCGAACTCCCTTTTTTGATGGCATGGCAACTCCTTACCTACTAGGCTGCCAGGAAGCCCTTAAATGTTAATAGACCCACTCCAAGGAAACCTGTTGCTGCAAGTCGCTTCCAACGCACCGACTCTGAAGGACAGAGTAGGCCACACAGTGGTTAAGCACTCACGTACAAACAGAAAGGTTGGTGGTATGAACCCACCTAGTGGCCTCTCAGGAATGAGCCCTGGCAATCTGCTCCTATAAAGATTACAGTCTGGAAAACTCTGTGGGCAGCTCTACTGTCATATGGGTTTGCTGTGTAAACACAAGTCTACCTTTTAAGACTGTGTAGGAGACTAGCAGGAAAAATGTGATGCTGGGACCCATCTGACCTAAATTTTACTCTTCATCGCGTATCTTATTCACCTGGTATTTTCATCCTGTAAAGATTACAGCCTTGTACACCTGATGGAGAAGTCCTACCCCATCCATGGAGTTGAAAGTCACCTGATAGCACTTCTCACTCACTCACTCAATCCTGACGACCCATACGTAAGGGAACAGGATGAGCTACTATTCAGTCATCGCTATCGAGTAGGAAGCAATGCACAGCTGATTCTCCACTGGGTTTTGAGGCTGTGAATTGCCACCTTTCTCCCGTTGTAGCTGGTGGATTCAGACCACTCGAGGTGCAGCCCTTGGGTCAGCAGCACACCCCCACATGGACTAGGTCACCGCCTATTACTGGAGATCGTTTCTTACCTTTCTGATCCAAAAGTCTCAATGAAACCTATTACACAAATGAATCAGCACTTTCTACACTAAATGCTACATAGGTAGCTCTCCTTAATTGGAAACATTTACATGTGTAGATGCATGCTGCCTATTAGCCACTAAGTCTGCATTTTAATCCTGCTTTCTGCTCACTGTGCCTCAGTTTCCTCACTTGCAACAAGAGGATAATTTTGATCTACCTCTGAAAAAGATAAAATATGTAGGAATTTTTAAAAAGCACTTTGAAAATGATGAGGGAGGAAAATGACTTCTTAGGATCCCACTGCCTAGTACAGTGAAGGGGAGCTGAAAGCTGCAAACAGGCTCATGCTTTTGATAATGCAGTGTTCCTGTTGCAAAGTTAAGCATATGAAGATTAACAAGTTTAGCTCACTTTGCACATTTGGAGAGTGACAGCCAAAACACATGTAAATAATCTTTATCTAAATTTGTCATTTTTATCTACAAATTAATCAGTCAAGAGATGTGTATAGTGTGTATATAAAAAGATAAGTTATTCTGGATACTAAGCACAATTTCCCTATAAACTTGCAGGAAAAAAAATTGTACAAGCATGAACTTTTCATTTTAAAAGCATACTTTACTAGCTATGAACTAAGATGTTAGGTTTATGGTGGATTAGCTTTGGGACACGTTTCCCTGAAACTACCCAACATTCTTGTAGTCATTTTCCTTGCTGCTGCATGCTGAATTGAAAATTCATCCTTTACCTCTATTCGATGTCAGCAAGCCAAATAGATCTTGCTCAAGTATTTCTTCCCCATGAATAGCCTTAACATTATTTTTGTATGTATGTACCATCTGAGTCTTTGTTGTTATGTGCCGTCGAGTCCCCTGCGACCTTGTCCAGCAGCTTATGCACTTTGTCATGTTCCAGAATTCCATTTACTTGGGCCTGCCTCATTTTTCTGGATCTCCTGGCAAGTATATAATTTTAATCCCCCACATGTGCTTTCTCTCTTGACCTTTTTTCATTATGACCTGGCACGTGGTATGCGAAGTACTCCTGCCCCTGTGATGTGGGTTACTATTTTTTTTCACATGTTGAAACAGAGTTTTGAAAACAAGACAAATCCATTCTCTTCCTTCAGTTCAGTCTAAAATGCATTATAATACTGTTAACCTTAATAAATCAGTTTCATTTTTTTTATTAGCTAGCATTCGTAATTAATATGTAATTTCCCTTTCTCCTTCTAGTAACTGAGGACAGTATTGCTCAAGAGAAGGGATCATCAATTAGGAAAAGTCCCATTTAATAAAAGCAAAGATGTGCCATGACTTGTGTTGATAAATCAGGGATCTGCTTTAACATGTGTAATTTTTGTGTAGTTCACTATTAACTTTTCCCAAATCTGGTATTTTGGTGTTTCAGACTCAATGCTCTGATTCCTTAGGAAATGTGATTTGTGAATGATTCCTCTCAAACTAATGAGCAGAGAGGGAAGAGGTGGAATTTTAGAATCCAGTGTTGCCAAAGCACAAACACACCCGGTATAGGCTTATAATGTGTGTACATTTTGAATACATATTTCCATTAAATAAGGAGGCTGGATAAGAAAAGCTGTAATAAAGAAATGTGCCTTTCAGGGAATTAACAATTCTGTTCTCAGTATCAACACATCATGTGTATTTTACTGCTCTGGTCCTTTTGGAATTTTCCAATTTATACTGTGAAAATAATCTCTCAATATATGATTTCTGTATCAAGACAGCCCTGAAGATAACAAAATTTTCTTTTAGATTTGTGATTTCCTATAGAAACCATCTTGTTCCATGTATTTACAGATGAAATCCGAAGTACTCTTAAGTTTTGCCTTAAATACGCCGAGTAGCAGAGTGCTTGCTTGCAAACGGATTTATTTCTGGCAGAGCATGGGGTTATGAATTCTAATATAAATCCTGGCTGAATTAAAATGTATCAATACATTGATATAGTATCTTATAAGATAAAAACATGGATGAGGAAATAAAGTATTAATAATTGAAGAAAATATACACAACCTTGTGACTTTTTTCCTTTTTATTTAAAAAATTATTATAAAATTTTGCTCATAGTAAAAAAAAATCAAACAGTAGACGAGAGCGTATATAGAAAAGTCATCTCCCCAGTCTCATTCCCAGGAGTTTGTGTATCATTCTCAAAGTGTTCTGTGTATTTAGAAACATAAATATTTTTCATTTGAAAACCACAAGATTTCACTATGTAGCTTGTTAATGTGTTTTAGAAAACAACCGTATATTACGGGTTGTCATTCCACATTTTCACATTCAAAGCTATTTCATTCCTTTTAAAGAGATGAACTGATTTACCCAATTCCCTTTGAATGGATGTTTTGATTAATCCCAGTATTTTACGCATAACACCTTTAAAAACTGGCACAATGAATGGGAGTGAGTCCTAGGAAATACGTTCTCCTAAGAGATTACATTTTTTATTGACTAGAAACAAATGATTGGAAGAGCTTGGAAACCCCTGAAACCCTTGGGGGCAGTTCTCCTCTGCATACATTTAGGACCACCCTCTTGGCTGCAAATCACTGCTAATGTTAGAAGGACAATTGATTAATGTTTTAAAAGTCACTGTCACTTCACACAGAGGAAATAACTAAAATATCTTACTCTAGATAAAAATGAGAGAAATGAATGTTTCAGTAGAAGCACTAATATTCATTTGGTATCAATAAAATGATCCAAGATAAACCTGGAGACTATGGGAAATTAATAGTGTTAATGATGAAACATGATATTTACTGTTTAAATTCAACAGCTCAAAGACTGAGTTTGCTTTATAATGAAGATAGAAAATAAATTTATAATGTTTGTGACTTCTAGACTGCATTAACTCTTTGGAAACCTGGTCAATCAGAATTACGTAATTATTACAACTTTTTCCTTCACATCCACGTCAGGGTGATGAACTAGAGCTCTCATTTTCTGAGCACATTCTTGTCCATATAATAGGGAATACAACGAACCTTTATGAAAGTTGAAAGCAGACTTAACTAAATGACCATCCATTTTAACGCAGTCATTTAAGTTTTGAAACAGTGTGAGTACTCGCAGAAGAATCTCCTTTGCCACGTGGCCATCATAAAGGGAAAGGAATGATGAATCCACCTGAAATTGCAAACAATGAGTATTTCATTAATATAGGAAAGTATTTCCCCATATATTTTCCACTTTAAAATAGCATTAATATTTTACATTTTTAAATCTTGTCACAGACTATTAGCCCCCAAGATAGCACAATCTACTAATATATAAACTTCTACACCCTCTTACTATATATTAATAGGAAAAAGAGGTTTTGCATGTTAGCTGAGAGTCATGAACTTGGAATCTCAAAATGTGGGCATTTGGAAAAATCCATTTCCTTTTTAAAATTCATCATTTTTCACTGGAACTTAGTCATCAAACATCCACTGGGCACAGGGCTGGGCCACAGGAGTAAGAAGATGAATAGAACAGATTTCCTTTTTCACAAGAACTGGGGTCCATTCCATCAGCACAACTTCTGTTTCCTTCAGAACACGACCTACAGCTTTTAATGATCTTGGTTGTTAGAAATTTTTGCTGGGCCTCTTTCCACCAGAATGTAAGGGCCTTGGGTACAAGCATCCTTTTATGCTGAGTACTTAGTAAAATTTTTGATAAATATATGAACAGAAATGGTCAAGGGAGAAAAAAAGATATGATTACACCAAAGCCACTCAAATTTATTGCCATCAAGTCGGAACTGAGTCATAGTGGATCTTCCAGCTGCGTTTCAGAGGGTGAAAACTGCATGGGAAGAGACTGCCCATTTTTCTTCCATGCATACAGTATGTCTAAAGTCTGGTAGAGAAGAAAAAGTTTTCTTTTTGCCATGAAATTGTTTTTCCATGAAAATACCGTATCTTAATGTGAACTTGAAAGGATTGGGGTTTTGCTGCTCCTGGTGATCTAGGTGAATTGTGTGTTAGGCTCTTAACCAAAGTTAGTTTGAGGAGACCAGTAGCTCTGTGGAAGAAAAAAGGACTCTCTCCTCCCACGAACATTTACAGCCTCTGAAACCAGATGGGACAGTAGCCAGGAGTCAGAATCAACCTGACAGTAGAGGCTTTTGTTGAGTTTATGTTGCTTTCCTATGAGTTGTGCACTTTACAGGCCCATTAGATGTCAAAGTAGAAAACATGCTCACTGTAGAAAATGTCAGAAATTTACATATGCAAAAGGATGATGAAAACATTTTTACTATTTCTCCTGAGCGATAATCCCTGTTAACTCTTTCAGGATAAATGTTTCCATATCTATAGGTCCAACGTATTACAAAAGAAACACGTAAGTTATTTACTTGAGCACTGAACAGTCTTTCTGCCATGGCGGGGTTTTCAGACAAATTCAAAAGCAGTTTCAAAACTTGAACCTGAAACAAGAATAACATTAGCTGATTTCAGACTAATATTCATGTATTTTCACTTCTGCTAAACTACTTACATTTCCACTTTCAAGTCTAGTCTGTGCTTCAAGGCCAGGCTCCAAGTCTCTCTTCTCATAAAACCTTTTAAATTCATCTCATATAGGTCACTCAGGCACACTGTGAGCACCTGATAACACTCTTCTCACATAGCAATCACTAATCACATACAACATATATATCACATACAACTGCACTTGTAACATAGTCATTTATACCTTATTTTTCCAATTCGTTCCCTAGGGAGACGGATGGAATATGGGGTGTGTGTTCATAATCTCTCCTTCACACACCTACCACAATACTGCTGTCCACAGTAAATTTAGGGGGTATCAGTAATATTTTACTAAACCAGGTGGCCCACTCTGGAAAGAGATGATGGGTGAAAAGCAGAACACTGATTAAGTGTGAGGAGAGGAATCCTCGGGCTGGAAGGCTAGCCGGAGGGTCCTCAGAAGCACGGAGGATGACTTCATCTCGCTTATTGTTGGCCATCTTAGCAGGAAGGACCAGTCCCTGGAAAAAGGCATCATGCTTGTTAACAAAGAGGAAGACCCTCAATGAGATGGACTGGCCCAGTGGCTGCAATAATGGGCTCAAACATGGCAATGATTATATGTAGATGGTGTGGCCCTGGGCAGTGTTACCATAGAGGTCTGCTATAGAGGTACACGGGGGCCCTAAGAGATAGAACTCAGTGTACCTACCAACAAAGCATCTTTTAGGATTACTGAAACAATTAGGATTTTAGAGGGGAAAAGAATCCAAGCTCAGGTTTGAACAAAACTGCCTCCCCCTCTACAGTGGTCTGCGATGATTCACTCGGAGTCTGTAGGTGGTGCACAGTTAACACATTCCACCACTAATCAAAAGGCTGAAGTCTGTCTGGGTTTCCCTATAGCTGCCTCAGAAAGGCCTTGACATCTATTTCTGGGAAAAAACAATGACCCAAAAAAACCAAGCTAAAACAACTGAAAAAGCCCCTTACAGAGCCTGGTTCTACTGACACGTGGGGATGGCATGAGAGTGAAGAGTCTCAATGGTCAGTGGATAGTATACACTAGAATATAGTGAAACAGGAGGAAAAAGATAAAGTCAGAAAAAAAGGATCTGTTTTGTTGATGGCGCTGGTGAGTCAGAAAAGACTCTCAGCAGGCCCTCCCTCCTTGAGCAGGTTTCCGAGACTGTAAACTGCACAAGAGGATGCTTGCTTTCTACTTTGCAGCAACTGGTGGATCCAAACTGCCTGCCTTTGGGTTGGCAGCTGAACTCCTTACCACTAAGCCACCAGAACTCAACAATCTATGTTGCTGTTAGCAAGTCAGAAATGACTCATCGTTTCAGACGCTCTAATAAATCATAAGACAGAAGCTTGCCCATCTCTCGCCTACGGAGTAGCTGTGGATTTGAACTGATTGCGTTTGGGTTTGCAGCACAACTCCTTACCACTAAGCCACCAGAGCTCTCTTAATATAATCTATAGATTAAAGAAATACATATTTTGGTTTAAAATCCTATTCAGGACTCTTTTTTTCTTTTGTCACATGTGCCATCTAGTGGTGATTACAGGACACTGACACTGTCATTAATTTTACTTGCTCTTCTTACATACGTAGCAAGCACGAAGTTTATTTTAGCTGTCACTGTATCTGGGTACGTAAGAACAATTTATATTTAGTTATGAATCAGAAGTGTATCCAAAAGGTTACTATCATACAGAGAGATAACTCTTTAAAGCAAAATGAGGTTTGTAAAGAATTCTTTTGGTGATAACTTCTGGTGAGAGTCCATAGCCAGCTCTTACCAAGGAACCTGGGTGGCCGGTGGGTAAACTGTTGTGCTGCCAACCTAAAGGCAGGTGGTTTGATAGCTAGCTGCTCCTTGAGAGAAAGACAGACAATCTCCTTCTGTGCAATTTATAGCCTCTGAAAATTTGTTGGAGGGTCAGCTAGGGGCCAGTTCTGACTTTAAGGGCACATAACAAATTGACAATACTGGCACCTAACAACAACAACAACAACAACAACAACAAAGCAACAGCAACTTGAAATGTGGAAAGCTTAACTAATAATGCCTTAGAATATATTTTAAAAGCAAGAGGATAGGGCATTAACTATTTAGTGTATAACTTCACACTTTCCTAAAATGCTCAAGCATTTTTCTTTCCTAACAGGGAACACAGACCAATACAATAAAATCTTACATAACAAGAAACTCAACCGAGTTTCAGTAATCAGTAAACAGTAAATCAGTGTCTTTATGGGACAGTAAACTGATTCAAGGAATGAGGCTGCCACATCTATACAACCAAAGAATATTGAAGATGACTATTCAAAAGCATTGCGGTATCTTTCATATATTGATATATTCTGTTAACTGAAGAACAAAGGTGCTTTAGAAAGATTTTATGTATGAAATATACCTTCGGATTTTTATATATGAAATATGCCTTTGGGTTGGCAGCACAACTCCTTTCCTACTAGGCTATCAGAGCTCAACTTAATATAGGTGACCTGGAAATTCAGCTCCAATTCTAATAAGCTTAATGCAAACACTTTTTGTCCTTCAAGTAATAACTGCTTCATACCTTGGTGCTGCCATTTCCAGCAAGTAACATTTGAAAGAAGTCTGTAATGTAACCATTAAGCATATGCTGGTGGTCATTGGTCACGGTCATGTTTGTTAACAATCTCAGTCCAGCCATCTGCACAGCAGAGTTCAGGGGGCCTGAGAAGACGACATCCTCACAGACTTGATTGACGTAGACCTGAAGACAGGAAAAAAAATAGTGAGCAACTTTGAATCCCCACATTTCTGTCGCTGAATAGTCACCATCCTGTCAGTGTGGACAAGGGCTATTGTCAGAGATGGAACTGGCTTTTCAGAAAATATGACATTTTTGTCTGGTCTTTCTATAAACGTTGGTGACTTTTCAAAAGCTACTTTTATTAATGTTAGACATTTTGCTGAATACTTTACAAATATACCTCACTTAATCCTTAAGACAACTGTGAGAGGTGAGTGTTATTGCAAATGAAGGCTTAAAAGTCCAAGAGTGTATACTGGACCAAAGTCGCCAGCTGGTGGCGGAGGATTTCTGGTCTCCAGAGACGGAATTCTTCTCATGAATGGCCTCTTCCTTGCTGGGGCCTCCCAACTCAGCCTACTATTTTTCTAACTGGTCTGGGCACACCAGGCCAAGGAATAAGATCTGCAAGCCCATTTTGTGTCACGGTAAATACCTTAATATTGGATCTAAAGACTACATCATGTTAGAAATACAGAGCAGGAGGAGCAGAGTGAAATAAAATGTTTCTTTACAATTAGTGCTATTAAAAATAGGCAGAGGCACAGCTGGATTTGGCCTCAGGTGGTTCTTATTTGCCCGCTGCTGCTGTTGTAGGTTAATCACCACTGGGACAAAGTAATGAAGTGCCAGGTGTATTCATAGTTCATATATAAAATAGAACCTGGTATAGAAAACAACCCAAAAACCTGATTTTTCTATGTCTGGCTATGATCTTTTCAACTTGGAAAAATTATGATCCGGAGAGAAATGGTGCTAATCAAACTCCACGTGAATGCCACCAGAAGTTCTACCGTGTAATATTTTTTCCTTGAGTATCAAGAATTACCAATTACACCACAAGCTGGTACTAATTTTTTTTATCCCCTAATGTATCTATTTTACCATAAAACAGAAATGATAGCAAAGCAGAGATATTAAACTTTTTTTTTAAAAAAAACTGTGGTAAATGTCTGTATCGACACATTTGCCATCTGATTTGCTTTCACATGCACAATTGGATGGCATAAACTTTGAACCTGATTTCAAGATCTAAATGATATGTATTTGTAAAACAACTCGGTCAAAATTTCATTACCTACTCATTCTTAAAAAAAAGGTATTTTACTCCCTTATAAATCATAAAGTTTCATGATGTCTTTCAAAACTTTTCCAAAATTCAGCCTGTCTACATCCTTAATACAGCGAAATAATTTCACCACAAAACTGCTAGATGGACTTTGTGGAATGGTGCCTTGCCTCCCTTGGAAGTCTGTGTGTGTTAACTCGTTGAAACTTCAGGCATTTTCAAGACCCAGGCTGAACTCTTACCTTTTACATAGACACATCTGGATGGGATTTTTCCTTGCTAAGTTTTCAACAATGGCTTATTTATACTTTTTTTCTTAAAGCCTTTCATCATGTTCTGCTCTGGATTCTAACTCTTTCTGAGTTTGCCTTAGTTCCTTTCTAGCTTTCTTGCTAGAACTGGATCATGTTCATTTCTAGATTCTTTTTTTTTTTTAAATTTTATTAAGTTTTGTGTGCATGTACCGTCAAATCAGATCTGACTGGTACAGGAGGAGATTGCCCCTCCTTCCCCCACAGAGCATCTGGTGGATTCGAACCGTGCACCTCTGGGATTGTAGTTGCAGCTTCTTGCCACTAGGCCACCAGAGCTCCCCTCATTTCTAGATTCTGTAGCACAGAGTAGGTGCTTGATAAATGTTGGCTTGAGGCAAGCTCTGGTGGCCTAGTGGCAGGAAACTGCACTGCAATCCCAGAGGTACGTGGTTCAAATCCACCAGATGCTCTGCTGAAGAGGGAGGAACAATTGCCTCTTGTACCAGTCAGATCCAATTTGACAGTACACACATAAAATAAATGAAAAAAAAAAATGTTGACTTGAACTAAATTAACATACTCTCCTAATATATTTTTTTCTATCAATGTTCTTGGATTATGAGTGGGCTTCTTTACCACATGTTGCATTAAACTGATCCCCAACTTCAAAAGTATATTTCATCCTTTATTGTCTGGTTCAAGTTGCATCCTCTCTGGTTCCATCTAGACGCTTCTGAAGATAGTTTTTCACCAGAAAGTTACAAAGAATTGTCTATAAAAGTTTCAAATCCACTTTTTGTTCTTTTCTCTCTCATTTATAGTGCACATACCACATTTTTGTTTCTGGATAACATACCTTTATTATTTCCTGATTTTCAACATTCACACTCAAGTTATTTAGTGCATTTAACGCTTTCTCTTTAATACTGTAGTTGTGACTGTTGATCATGTTCCCGACAATTGGAATACCACCCAATTCACGAATTACGATCTAAGGGGGAGAAAATAAGACTGTGACTTCAGTGTGCATTCCATTCCCTTGAATTCTTTGCATCCACAAAAAGATTTTTAAAACATTAATAAATCTTTGGAAACATCTTCACTACATACAATTTAAATATGTAATTTTTGTTTTGTAGATAAAAATGAATGAAAAATAAAGATAGGCAACTTTTTAAAACTATACAATGGAAATAAAATGAAGGGTTGTAATCATCTTAAAGGCAATTCAAAATTTCTATTTGACTTTGAAATAAGTTTTTTAATTTCCTTAGAGAGATTAAAGAGGTAAATATCCATAGAGGTAAACTCAGAGAAGTATTATGATTTATAATATCAAAGCAGTAATTTGCACTAATGTTTTCTGTAAGATAAGTCCTTTACGATATTAAGCTAAACACTATATCATACACAGTTTTGCATAATCAGTAATATTAAAGATACAGGCAAACAGGCAAGATAAACAGATATGGGCTAGTAGAGGAACATATCCACAGTCAGACACAGGCTTGGCAGGTTATACTCCTACGTTAATTTTGGTATATGCTATAAATATATCCATGTATATAGTAGAGTCAATTTGAGGCAGGGTTGTACATTTTTTAATCATAATCAAACACTGAAGGAATGAATTGCTGGATCAAGGCTATAGTAATCAACTGACATCACAGTCCACAAAGTATGCTCAACATGCTACTTTGGTGAGCAGAGACTTAAAATCTTTGAGTGGTCTTTAAAGGTGAAACTAGACCCTCTGTGTCTAGAACACTGAAAGTGAAGAATATAAGACAGTCTAGAGGACTAGGAGACTACACGTGAGGACTCAGAAGAACTAGATGGTACCTAGCTATCACTACTGATGAGTTGAAAAGGACCTGGAGGCTGAGTTCTATACTGACATGACTCAAGCCCCTCTGTGATTTTCCTCTGGGGCCCTTCACAACCCCTTCAGAGTGATGCTGACAGTCTAGGTGCTTAGAATGGTCTTTGGTCTTGCAGCGGATGTGGTAAAGAGCAACACGTGCCATCGTATCAGAAAGAGACTGCAGAAGAGCAAATTGTCACCTACTCTGCTGCTAAGGGTGGCTTAGCATGGGGAGAGAAAGAAATGTTCTCACTGCAATTCCAAGCTCTTCCCAAGACTTGTGGTAACTAGAAATTGTGTGTAATTGTGTGTATGTGTGTGTGTGTGTGTGTAAACATCTTAATATCAATTTGAACCTATAGCTGTCGGGTCAGCATTAATATATTCCTAAGTCCAATATACAATTTAAAATATGTAGCCACATGACATATTTTAGTGGCAGTGATTCTGACTCAGAGTTATACTAAAGGACAGAGCAGAGTTGCCCCATAGCCTTTATAAGGCTGTCATCTTTTTCTTTTGAGATTTTAATAAGTGTTTATAAAGAACTTGGATTTCCATTCATTCACTGTTGCACATTTTCCTCTCTGCGCCCCCTTCCCTACAGGTTGCTTTTTTCTTTGGGGGTAAAAAGTTCTTTCATTGTTATACAGTCCCTCCCACGGACCACTTTACTATGCAACTCTTATTCTGGACTTTTGTCATGCCCATAATACCTAAATCATATATTCCTTTTATACTGTTCTCTCCCTTGTCTGTTTCAATGCTGTGTACATTATTTATCCCCTCTTTTCTTAGTTTTCCCCCTAACCTCCATGTTAGTCCTGTTCTGTAACAGTGGCACTATGCAGTATTTGTCCTTTTGTGACTGAGATATCTCACTCAGCATAATGTCCTCCATGGTCACCCATATTGTAAAATATTTCATGAGTTCTGTTTTTCAGTGCTGCATAGTATTTCATTGTGTGAATATACTACAGGTTCTCTAGCCATTCATTTGTTGATGGGCACTTGAGTTGTTTCCAACTCTTTGCTACAGAAATAAACATGGGTGTGCATATATCTGCTTGGGTGGCAGTTCTGGTTTCTTTAGGGTATATTCCCAGTAGTGGACTTGCTTGGTCAAATGGTATTTCTATTTCCAACTTAAGGCTGTGCTCTTTAGGAATAGATCATCATTATCTTCTTCCCTGGAGCAATCAGAGTTCAAATCAGTGTTCAATCAGCGTTTGACTTTTTGTTAGCAGTGCTTCCAATTAAATGCCAGATTCTTTTATTGTTCTGCTGAAGTGCTACTGAATTTTAAACACAAATTTAAATTTAAACACAAAATTTTAAACACAAAATGCTAAATGTTGATTAGATAAGCTGATCATGAATGTATTGCCAGTGACTAATTCTGTATGAATTTACAATCATATTAATGTACCATCTTACAAGTAAGCTCTAATTTTCATAAATAAACATTATGTATTAAGTATAAGGAGTAATATGCTTATGGATGAGGAAATTTAATTTCCAAGAAGTCAATGAAGCTCTTAGGCATTGCTGGACTTTCTAGTGTGGAAGAATGGAAGGAGTTTGCTTGCCGAGACTAGAAGACTTACTTGGTTAGCTGAAAAAGCTGCATTGTTGCCCAGAGTGACCAGAGCTCTTTCAATAATTGCAGGATCCTCAGTTGACTCAAGCAAGTAAAGGAGTTTCTGAAGTTGCTCAGCACTGAGGCTTTCGTCATACAAGCCATCTGTTAAGTCCTCTGTATAAAAAGAATGCTATTTAAAGTTCATCTAAAATTAAGTTTTTTTTTTTACAGTTTTAAAACAAGATCAAACACATGATACCAGGCACTGCTTCAATTACTTTACCTGCCTGATCTTCTTTTAATTGTTAATGAGTCCTAGAAAGACGATCCTATTATTATTCCCAATTTATTGATGGGAAAGGAGCCAGTGGCCACTTCTCAAGTCGGCTATGACTCTGAACCTTGCCCTCACCTGTGCCATCCTCATTATCTCTAATATTCTCAGGCCCATTGGGATATACACCATGGCAACCCGTCTCCTTTAGGTTCTTTCTCTGACCCTCCACCTTTCTCTACATGAAGCCCTTTCCCAGGGCCTGGCCCCTCCTGACAATTTACCTAAAGTACGTGAGGTGATGTTTTACCACCTTTGACTCAAAGGAGTGCCCTGCTTACGCTTACTCCAAGATAAACTTGTTTGTCCATTTGGTAGTCCATGGGATATTCAGTACTATTCTCCACCACCACTTAATAGGTTTCCATTAATAAGACAAAAACTGCAAATAACACATATCCCTAATGCTGATATCACTGTTATTTCTCTTTAGCAATCGGGTAAACCTATTCACTAAACATTGAAAATGGAAGGAATCTTGAGATTCAAGCTCTCTACCGTCAAGGTACCTGAGCCCCAGAGCCAGGAAGCGGAAACCACAGTCCTGCAGGAGAAGCAGCGGGTAAATCTATTCAATGGAACATCTGGAGCATAAATTAAGAAATAGGATTTGCTTTAAGGAGACTTTTCTGTCCACAATTTTAAAAGCTGGGCAGGCAGGTTTAAAGGCTGTGGGGGGAACCTAGTTGTGCTGTTGCTTGGCACTTCCCCTTGTTTTTTATAGGAAACAAAGAAAAAAGTACTTTAAAAAAATTAGACCTTGTTCTGTTACATTTATTTTCACACATATTTAAGCTTAACTGCTTGTTCTTGTTTCAGAGGGATAAAACTGACACCTATGTATCTATCCAAAGAGCAGTTATCTAAAATATTGTGGTTGCCTAGAACATGCACAGCCCAATATACACCTACTGAATAGTTTCTTACCTGGATCATCCAGTGGCACTGATTTGTATTTTCTAGTTGTGCAACCATTCTCATGCTGTTTTTTTTCTGAATGATTCCTCCTTACTACCTTAAACTCACTGCCCCTAATTTTACTCTCTGGGGTTTCAGTAGTTAATTTGAAAAACTGGAAACAATTTCTGTAACACTCTTACTGTGTTACAATCTTTGATCCTCCTCCTTTGAAATGTAACTGTGACATTACAGATCAGACTCTCCACGAGTCCACATTATGCCTGCAGCTCTCCTCCCTCTCCTCCCTGGTTCTACAACAGCAGGTGCTACAAGGTCTCACATCTATTGGTTTTCGTTTCTAAAAAAAAATACACTAAATTGCTAAAGGTGGTCATTTCTGGAGGCCAAGATTACACATGAATTTTATTTCTACTCTGTACTAAAAAGTATGTATTTTTTATTAAAAAAATAAATATAGATTGCGCCTATTTTTAAAAAAACTATGAATGATATGATGTCCTGGAGTATTAAAAAAAAAATTAGGAAACACTAAAATGCCAACAGATGGCCACTTAAAATCAAGACCTTTCTTTTTTATTCCTGTGACTATTGCATGCTTCATTTACACCTTATAAAGCAGGGCAAACAGGCCTTTCAAGATGCAGGTGAGATGCTTGAGCTGCGGGGACTTCGAGGCAGACCTCCCTGCGCAGACACAGGCCAAGAGCCGACCGAGTGGCAGCCCTCCTTGCCCAGAACGGCTCGGAACTGCATCCTACAGCTCCACCGACTGGGGGAGACGATCGGGTAACACAAAGGCCCGACGCGAGCTTTACTGCGCGAGGCAATCGGCATGCATTTGAGAAATCCGTCCTCGCTGCACTCCGAGCTCACAGATAATGACATTTTGTAATTTCTGTACCCCAAGAGACTGAACAAAGACGTGGGGGCAGGCGGGAGGCTCAGGACCCCACGCCCACCCGAGTCAAGCGGCCGATCGCCCTCCGCCCCCGGCTCCTAGGCCTCGCACCCTCGGCCTGCCTCCCTGGCGCCGCCGGCGGGAAGGCCACCGGGGCCCGCGGAGCC